AAAAAAAAAAAAAAAAAAAACTTATAAAAGAATTTTGTTAGTATTGCCAGGAAAATTTAATAAGTACCAATTCTATGCAGAGATAAGTCTTTTTTAGCGGACCCAATTAAAACATCATAATCCTCATTTTATGTCTATCTCATTTAATTTGTGGTTTGTTTTTAATAGCTGTTTATGTGTTATTCAATGAAGCCTCAGTTTTACAAGTTTAAAAATATTTTATCTCAGTAAATACTGCTGTATTATATCTAATAATGTTTCTGAAGATACAGTGATCATTTTACATGTCTTGTCTTTTTTAGTATGTTGACTGCTTTACTGTTTATATATCTGGGATGGAAGTAGAGTTATTAGATAATGACATTTGGAGTTTGGGATCTGAGTTCTCAAGAAGATATATAGCTGAAAGTAAAAGCTTAAGTTTTTTAAAAACCCTGCCTCAGTTTCCACTGGTGAATTGCAACCAGGATTGGTGTTAATTTTATTACTTTTCAGCTCCTGGATATTCAAGTCATTTTGCATTAGAGATCTAGAGGTAGATACTGAATTAAGCTCCCTTGGGTGCCACTTCCTGTTCTCAGAACAAACACTGATGAACTAGCATCATCTCTAACTTGAGTAGTTTGAAGGCTCCAGATTCCTCTTGTCTTTGAGCTGTTCTCCGTCCTTGTACAGTGTAATTTCACTTTGAAACTATCATAGTGTACACTACTACTGGCAACACACAGTACCCAAAATCACTATCTTGTATTTTGAAACAAGAATATTTATCAGTTTGCTGATTGAGATACTATCTCAGGAAAAGAAACATTTTCATTTAATGCATTTCTAATGCAAAAATTCTGAAAAATCCATTCCTGGTCACTAAAATTTATGTTTCAGGATTTTTTAATTATAATTTTTACATCTAATGGTCACTAACTTAATAAACACATTTGTTTTTCAGGATTTTTACATTTGTTTTTCAGGTTTTTTGTCTTATATTGGTTTAAGGACAGCAGCAATTACGTAATAACAGAACTGATCAAAATGTAGATAAGAGTTTCAGAATAACATATTGGGTGTATGTGTAGATAGAAATACAGGTACAGCATACATACATGTATGTATTTAGCATACATATATGTTTACATGTGTAATTAAGAAAAAATGAAATTTTACAAGCAGTGCATGCTTGTTTTTATTTATATGGATATGTTTGCAGATAAGTGAATCAGTTCTTCTAAAGCACTGAACAGCTTTATTTATAATAATGCTCATTTTTGCACATGAATAACCTAAAAGGAACAAAATGGGGAAATTATTTACCAGCACAAACTGTCTTCTTTCTTTACTGGTATTTCCTATATTTTTACTATGCCAGTAATGAAAACAAATATGAATATACGGAAGTTTGAGGTTTGCATCATACCTGTTTGTCAGAGGATGTGAAACAAATTTGAAAGTTATTAATAAGATTTACAAATACCAGTGAACATTTAAAAGTATATGATCAGTGTGCCTAGGGAGGATAGGTCGGTTGGAAATTCACAAAGCACATTTTTAATGGACTTTAATGGGTTTGGTAGGATCAGTATGTTTTCCAGGGTTTGGAGGTTGTACAGCTCAGTGAGGTGAGGAACAAATGGGAGAGGACCATATGTGGTGGTAAAGGTCACAAATTGAATGTAAACCTCTAAGGCACCTTTGACACATCTAAGTAAAGGTATTAAGGATGCATTTATAGATACTCATATTTAATGATCAGAAGAGAAGTTTAGGCTTAATTAGTGTGCCCTCACTAATGTGTGTCTTTTAGGAGTTGGGGAGAGGAGTTGTTGAAAATGATTCTACTGAAATTCTTTCTTCTGGTAGTTAGGATGAGACTGTGTTTAAATGGACAGCATTAACAAGCCAGACTAAGGTAGAGAAAATTATGTTGCAGATGAGTTTATTTCTATAAATTAGTTATATTTTATTTAAACTTAAATTATTCCTGGATTATAAAACAGAAATTCTCTAGTTTCATTTTTTCATCCATTGGCTTTATAAATTTGTAAGCTTATGTGGATGAAGTTTTGATTCATGGGCATTTTAATATTCCTTCATTTCATAGCCATGAAGCTCATGACTGCTCTGGTGAATGTTGCCTTAAACCTCAGTATTCATCAGGATAATACCCAGAGACAGTATGAAGCCGAAAGAAATAAAATGATTGGGAAGAGAGCCAATGAAAGGTTGGAGTTACTACTTCAGAAACGCAAAGAGGTAAGTTTTATGGCAACTGATCTTATGTTCTGCAAATATGTGATGTATATATATCTCATTAGTACTTTTAAAATTATCTGTAAAAAGGTTTATGTGTATTTTAATTAGATTATTTGATGTCAAGGTTTCTAAATGAAACCAGAGCGTTCATTGGTGATCATGTAAGTGCTGTTTGATGGCAGAAAGGAATCATAGAACATCTCTATTTTTGAAAGATGTTGGTCTGGGAGTTAGGCAACTCAGAATGTTTATAAGGCTATATGCTCAGAAAGTATGAGAAATACTAAAATCAGAATTGAGAGTCGGCAAAGCCACATTTCCAGGAAGAAGCCAAAGGCTACATACTAGCTGATGTTTAAGGCATTTCTGTGAATAAGATTGGTCCCAGTTTTACAGAGACTCCTGTTATTAAGATTCGTTTCAGTTTTACAATGATATTTCCATATATATGTTAAAAATGATTTTATACTGGTGTGTGTGTGTGTGTGTGTGTTTTCTTTTTTGAGATGGAATTTGGCTCTTGTTGCCCAGGCTGGAGCACAATGGCGTGATCTCGGCTCACCGCAACCTCCGCCTCCTGGGTTTAGGTGCTTCTGCCTCAGCCAGCTATGTAGTTGGAATTACAGGCATGCACCACCAAACCCCGCTAATTTGTATTTTTAGTAGAGATGAGGTTTCTCCATGTTGGTCAGGCAGGTCTCGAACTCCTGACCTCTGGGAGGCCAACATGGGTGGATCACCTAAGTGCTGGGATTATAGGCTTGAGCCACTGCACCCAGCCTCTACTGGGTTTTTAATGGGAAACATTTTTATTCATTTAATACTACATAAAATCTTAGATCTGCACTATTTGTCCATCTTATAACTTGAAAAAAGAATATCACATTGCTGCAAGGGAATTAGATATGACTAATAACTTAATGGGTTTATAACAGAGAAGAAAAAGCAACAATGTTGTGATTAAATAATTACCCATACTGTATTAGTTTGATAGGGCTGCTATGACAAAGTACCACAAGCTGAATGACTTAAACAAACTAACGTTATTATCTCACAGGTTTGCAGGCTAGAATTCCAAGATCAAGGTGTTGGCAGGGCCATCTTCCCTTGGAAGGTTCTGTGCTTCTTCCTAGTGTCTGGTATTTGCTTGACTGGTGGCAGCATAATTCCACTCTTTGTATGACAGTCTTCCTGTATGTATGTCTGTCTCCAAATTTATTCTTTTTTTAAGGACAGTTGTTGTATTGGATTAGGGTCCTACCCTACTCCAATATGGCCCCGTTTTAATGAATTAAATCTGCCACAGTGCTCTTTCTTAATTTCACATTCTGAAGTACTAGGGGATCAACATACAAATTTTTAAGGAACACAGTTTAACCCTTCACACATACCATACTTGAAATATTATACAAGTAAATACTAGAGCTGTGCTTTTGTAAGTACTGTTGATTGAAATGTGTGCCTCTTATAAATTAATCAGTTTTTACATGATAAATGCAATAAAAGTAATTTTTTTCTTTTTTTCTTTCTTTTTTTTTTTTTGACAGAGACAGGGTTTCACTATGTTGGCCAGGCTGGTCTTGAACTCCTGACCTCAGGTGATCCGCCCGCCTTGGCCTCCCAAAGTGCTGAGATTACAGATGTGAGAATAAAAGTAATTTTTAATACTTGGATGAAGTTGCAGTAATTTGAAAGATTTGCTTCAAAAGTATTTCCAAACTTATTGTAATGAAACCTGAAAGAAAGCATATAGCAAAATAATAAATCTGAGGGAATTTTATTGTCACATACATGTATGTAGTAAAAGCAAATATTTCACTGAATTATTACTATACAGTAAATTATAGAATAAATTAGAATAGTAAATACCACTTGAATGTAATTTTGTATTAATGCTGTTATTGTTTTTGAGTAATAATAAACACAGACTTCAACCCTGATCAGTTTTGTTGCCTGAAGTTCGTATCTTCGCCATAGATATTATTTATTTTGTTACTGTAGTTCACCACAAGTAGCCAGGATCCTTTTTATCTTCTCTTATGCCTCTTATATTGGAAACTTGGCCCACTCTCTGTTACAGGCTAGTCAGATGCAGAGTAATGTTTGGATACATAGACAGAACAGGAAGTTTCTTGTACAACAGCAGATATGTTCTTTAGGGATGTTCCTTTAACCAAGAAAGGCAAAACCAATCCCAGGGACCTGATTTGTACAGAAGAGGTATAGAAATTGAGGCCTGTTCCCAAGGCAGATGATGTTTTGGAGATATGAATCTGAATATCTGTACCACTCCTTGTTGTTTGTCATTGTGTAGTTTGTATCTAGAGAGAGGCAGTGAAAAGTCCTCAAACCAATATGATATAACTGTATGGGAATAATAGAAATATACTGGAAATTTTAGACGTCTGTCATATAAGTGAGAAGAAAGTTTGGAAACTACCCAGAATGAGAATAACCAGGAATTAAAAACAACTGGAGTTATTCATTCCAAATAAAATGATCACTGTTTCAATTTATATATATTTTTTTCATTTCAGCTACAAGAAAATCAGGATGAAATCGAAAATATGATGAACTCTATTTTTAAGGGTATATTTGTTCATAGATACCGGTAAGAGATTTTTAAAATAATTTTGAAGGCTTTTCCCTTAAACAGTTACTGATTTTTGTGGCCGAGACTAACTATAAAACTCTACTAATTATAACTTGTGTTTTGTTTTCTGGAAAACAACTTTGGCTGTAAATGCTAGGTAAATGGCACAGTACAACTATGGAGGAAATTGTATGACTGCTGCCACTACCACTGTTATACTCTTCCAAATTCAGAACATGTGCTTTTGGAAGTAGTTTATGTACTTGTATGGAATATTAATTAATAGGATCATAAATTAATGTAACTTCAATAAGATATTGTTGTTTTCACATTTTAAAAATTAAGTGCCCTACTTCTTGCTCTGTGGTACCCATTTTGTTCCATGGGCAAATTATCTAAAAAAAAAAAAAATATCTGTGTAAAGCTAGGAGGAAAGAGGACAGAGAAGGGCACCCCTGCAGCTAATGCAACAACTGTATCTTCATTCTTGTTTCCTTTCAAATAAACACATTCAAATAGTAGCTGTTTGCAGAATATTTTTGTCATCTACCATTGCAAATGACTTTAATTTGTCTTTCTGTGAAGGCCAAGAACCTTAAAAATACGAACTACTTGTAAAAGAGCGTATTCTACATAGAATGAATGAATCATATACAAATACTTACTACCTTCTGTTGATTAGATGTGATGTGTATAAATAAACAGACAGAGATAATAAGTAGCAGCACTGTTTTCAGACACATTTGAGAGTGTATTTGGCTAATTAACATAGAGTGGTGGGATGTGGTGGCTTATGCCTATAATCCTAACACTGTGAGAGACTCAGGTGGGAGGATCACTTAAGGCCAAGATTTTGAGACTGTGTCTCTACAGAAATTTAAAGATCAGCCAGGTGTGGTAGCATGTACCTGTAGTCCCAGCTACCCAGGAGGTTGAGGTGGGAGGATTACTTGAACCCAGGAGGTCGAGTCTGCAGTGAGCCTTTATTGCACCCCTGCACTCCAGGCTGGGTGATAGAAAAAGACCCTGTCTAAAATTAAACAAAGAAATACACACACACACAAACACACAGAGCTGACCTTTGAACAGTATGAGTTGGAATTGCAATAATCCCTTATAAACCTTTTTTTTCCAACTAAACATGGATTGAAAATACGGCATTTGTGGGCTATGAAACCTGTGTACATGGAGGGCTAACTTCTTGAATATTCAGATTACTCAGAGCCAACTTGTACAGGAGTATGCATGAATTTTACTCTATATTAGCAGTCCTAGAAACCAGTCCTGTGTATACAAAGGGGCGTGTATGTGTGTGTATGTATCTCTGATAATTTATTTTAATGGAACTTAAATATTTTAAATAAAAGAATAAAATGTTCTTTTGAAATAGATCCAGGGTTTTTATGTTGAGTAGAGATGGTCTGATTGGAGGGGTTTTTTTTGTTTTGGTTTGATGTTTGTTTTGTTTTCTTTTTGGAGACAGAGTTTGACTCTTGTTGCTCAGGCTGGAGTGCAGTGGCATGATCTCGGCTTACTGCAGCTTTTGCCTCCAAGGTTTAAGCCATTCTTCTCTCTCATCCTCCTGTACCTGCTACCACATCCAGCTAATTTTTTTATTTTTAGTAGAGACTGGGTTTCACCTTCTTGGCCAAACTGGTCTCGAACTCCTTATCTCAGGTGATCCACCCGCCTCTGCCTCCCAAAGTGCTGGGATTATAGGTGTGAGCCACTGCCCATGGCCTGATTGGAGTTTTATGTCCGATTTCTTGCGTATACTGTATGTGTAACATGTTATTGCTATATTTGTTTTAAAAAGACCAAGAATTTTCATATAAACTGCCTTGCAGTCTTTTTTTTTTTTTTTTGAGACAGTCCAGGCTGGAGGGCAGTGGCGTGACCTCTAAGAATTTCTGCATCTGTGTTCAAGAGGGATAAATATCTCTTTATTTTAATGAATATCACTGACTGACTTTGTTACCAGAGTAATGCTGGCCTTGTAGACTGAGTTGCCATGTATTCTCTCTCTAATTTTCTGAATGAGTTTAATTGAATTGGTGTTATTCTTCAGATATCAGTTCACCAATTGGAGCCTAGAATTTTCTTTGCTGGGAGGTTTTTAACTACAAATTAAATTTCTCCAGAAGATATAGGGTTTTGAGGTTATTTGTGGTTCTTGAGTAAATTTTGGTAGTTTATGTCTCATAAGAAATTGGTACATTCATCTAGGTTGTTGAATTATATTCAAAAACTGTCAGCATAAAATTGGTCATAATATTGATAATTTAATATCTCTCTCTCTCCCCCTCTCTTTTTCCCCCTGCTTCCTTCCCCCCTTGCTCTTTTCATTGTTCAATGTGGAGGTATTTTATTTTATTTTATATTGAGTTTTTCTATTATTTTTGTTTTTTATTTCGTTGATTTCTGTCCTTTATTTCCTTTCATCTGCTTACTTTGGGTTTCACTTCTTCAGCTGTTTGTAGTTTCTCAAGGTAGAATTCGAGCTCATTGATTTGACACCTTTTTTTTTAATAAATTTATTTTTATAAATTTTTTTGAGCACTGCTTTAGCTATGTCTCCTAAATTTGGATATGTTGTATTTGCATTTTTATTTAGTTCAAAATACTGTCTAATTTTTTTATTTTTTTTCTTTCACCCATGGATTATTTTGAAGTATAGCATTTAGTGTGCAAATATTTGAGGATTTTCTAGTTATCTTTCTGCTATTGATTTCTAATTTAATTTTTTTGTAGTCAAAGAACATAGTTTGTATGGTTTGAATGGTTCTAAATTTATTGAGATTTTTATGACACCCACAATAAACTCTTAAATGTTTCATTTCCTCAAGAAAATAGTGCATTATTCTGCTTTTACTGTCTAGTGTCTTACATCAATTAGGTCAAATTGTTTAATAGTGTTGTTCAAGTCTTCTTTTTCCTTACTGATGTTGTGCCTGTTTTTTTCTAACAATTATTAAGAAGGGTTTTATAGGAGTACTTTCTGTATTTGTTTTTTTTTGGGAGATGGAGTTTGTCTCTTGTTGCCCAGGCTGGAGTGCAGTGGCACGATCTCAGCTCACCACAACCTCCGCCTCCCGGATTCAAGCCGTTCTCCTGCTCAGCCTTCCAAGTAGCTGGGATTACAGGCATGCACCACCATGCCTGGCTAATTTTGTATTTTTGATAGAGGCAGGATTTCAACATGTTGGTCAGTGATCCACCCACCCTGGCCTCCCAAAGTGTTGGGATTACAGGAGTGAGCTACCATGCCCAGTCAAGCGACCGCACCTGACCAGTATTCTTTGATATAAGTTCATTATCAGATGTATAGCTTTATTTATTTTCTTAATGGCAACTTATACAGAGCAAATGTTTGTATGGCCTAATTTATGAGTTTTTCTTATGTGGTCATGCTTTTGGTATCTGTGAACATTGCCTAACCCTACGGTTTCTTCTATGCTTTTTGTTTTAGAAGTTTAATCATTTTATATCTTCTATTAAGGCAAATGAATCATTTTTAATTCAATTTTTGTACATGATGTAAGTGCAGAATAATATTTTGCATACAAATACTCAGTTTTCCAAGCACCATTTAATGACAAAGTATCTTTTTCCAATTGAATTACTGTGCCATTTTTCTTGAAAATGAATTGACCATAAACACAGTATTTTATTTTTGGATTTTCTGTCTATCCTTACACTGATAACACCTGCATTGAGTACGCTTTAGAGGAGTTTTTAAAATTAGGTAGTGTAAGTTGTTTTACTTTATTGTTCTTTTTCAAACATTTTTCGACTAGTATAAATTCTTTGCATTTCTATATAAATCTTAAGGTCAGCTTGTCAAATTTTGAACAAAAGCTTATAGGGATTGTAATGATTCTGTAAACCAATTTGGAGAGAATTATCCTCTTAACAACATTGAATTCATTCGTTGTCTTATGGGGGAAACAGTCAAACTTTGAAATTGGTCACGATGTCATTAACTGTAAGTTTTGTATAGTTTAGTAAGACAAGGAAATTTACTTCTAGCCTGATTTGTTGAGTGTTTTTATTATGATGAATTGATATATTTATTTTTTCTGTTTTGATTGAGGTGGTCATGCAGGTTTTTCCTTTTTTCTATTAATATAGTGTATTGTGTTCATTGATTTTCAGATATTATACCAACCTTGCATTCTGGGATAAATTCCACGTGGTCATGGTATATAATCCTCTTTATATGCTACTGGATTCATTTTGCTAGGATTTTGTTAAGGATTTGTACATTTACTTTCATAAAGAGTAAGAAATGTCAATACTAGCCTTATAGAATATACCGGGAACTGTTTCTTCCTGCTTTCATAAAATGAAAGAATTTATGAAAGATTGGTAGCATTTCTATGTTTGGTAGAATTCACCAGAGAAGCCCTTTGATCCCAGCTTTTCTTTATGTAAATATTTTTCATTGCTAATTCAATTTACTTCATGTATCCTGAATATTTTAAATTTTGTTTTGATTTTGTTTTTTATTTATTTTCTTGAGATAGAGTCTCTGTCAGCCAGATTGGAGAGCAGTGGCACAATCACAACTCCCTAGAGCCTCACCCTCCTGGGCTCAAGCATTCCTTCTGCCTCACCTCCCAAGTAGCTAGGACAACAGGCAAGCTCCACCACTCCCTGCTAATTTTGGGGTTTTTTTTTGTGGAAAGCAGCGCTGCTCCCTGTGTTGCCCAGGATGGTTACAACTCTTGACCTCAAGCAGTCCTTCTGCCTAGCCCTCCCAAACTACTAGGATTATAGGTGTGAGCCACTGCATCCTGCACCCAGCCAAATTTTTTTTTTTTTCGTTGAGTCAGATTTGGCCATTTGTATTTCTCAGGCAATATGTCTGTTTCATGCAAATTGTAAATTAATGGCATAATGTTGTTCATGATATTTTGTAATCATTTTTTATTTTTAGGGTTGGTAGCCCCCTTATTTATTCTTGATTGTGTGATTTTTGTCTTCTCTTTTGTCTTAGTCTCACTAAAAGTTTCAGG